AGGGCACAAAAACAGAGCTCTTAAAAAACAAAGAAATTCACTAAAAATCCAAAAACGCGTTTTTGGCCAAAATAGCTAAAGCTGGAAAACGCTACGAAACCCTGCAAATACCAGTGAATTCGTCCAAGGGCACAAAAACAGGGCTCTTAAAAAAATCAAGGAAAAGCAGACTTTAAAAAAACGTACCAACGGCCAAATGTACTGCAAATAACAGTACTTTAGGCTGCTTCGACCGCAAGAAAGCCAAAACAAAAACAGAAAAATCCCGACTGGCAACTGGAAGAGGAAAAACAAGTAAACAACAAATTCTGCAAAGACGAAATGCTGTAAATACCAGTGAAAATGTGCACGGCGGCAGTCATACTCAGACAGAGAAGCACATAAAAGAGACTCGTCAAATACATAAAGTATGCCTAGCAGTAGTAGTAGTAGTAGTAGTACTAGTACTAGTACTAGTAGTAGTAGTAGTAGTAGTAGTGGTGGTAGTAATAGGAGTAGTACTAGTTGCAGCAACTTCAGTAACATGCAGTAATAGTAGGTGCGTTATGTGCATTTTTGTCGACAAAGTTGTGAAAATACTTACAGGCACGGCATTTGACAGATACGTGCAGCTGTCCTTTGGGGAAGGGGGCTGGGGGGACAAGTTTGGCATTTCCATCTCTTTCGCATTTGGGCTCACGGGGAAGTCAAGGAAGTCAAGAGATGGCGAAGCCGTATGCTTGCATGGCTTGCGGCGTGCGGCAAGAGCACTCACGCATCGTCTTGAGACTTGCATGTCCTGCTTGGCTCGAGTAAGGAAGGGCGCTGGGTGCGCAGCCGAGGCGCGTTGCAAAAGCCTTGTGGCGGCGCTCTAGTTGGAGAAGACAAGAGCCTTCGTCTTTGCTTGACCCGAAATGTTGTTGTCGTGATATTTCCCTCTTATCCTTTCGAAGTTTTCGACCTCCTTGGTTCTGATGTCGTTCTTTTTTTCATTTTGCCAAGGAAAAGCTACATGTTGCACATTGCGGCGCGCCAGGACAAAATCCTCTGGCGTGCGGTCATTATACAAGCCCATTTGACACTTAAGACTCAAGACGCAAATTCACAAACACAAACGAGGAGCGATGGTGGAATCGCCCGCGGTGCTGCCAGTTTCGGTGACGGTGGAGGTAGTTGCTGAGCTTCTACCACGACTGAAGTCGTAGCAGACACAATGGCAGTGGCGGTGGTGGGCAGTGCAGCAGTGCTATTGCTGCTTTGACACGTGTCAAAGAGGCATGATGCATTGCGGAAAAGGTGGACACAAACAGCTGTTTTTTGTTGGAGCCCCTGCTGCTCTGTTCCGGTGCAATACATGTCAGCCAGGGAGCTCAGTGACCAGGAGCTGTCTGGAACATGCGCACGGCACCTGAGTATCATGGGAGTGGTTGCATGCGGTGACGATGCAAGAATTTAAAGCATTGACTCCTTTTACACCTGTTGCTTCCAAACTCAGGGTCCCATTGCGTTAGGTACCGCACTGAAACTGGTACCCATAAGCAGCCAAAATTTGTGAGTATGCCACTTGATAAAGACGCTGAGCAAGCTGTCATGATAGCGCTCTGAGATTTCTGCCATTGATGTCCGCCAACAACAATGTCCTCACTGTCCGAACAGGACGAGATCGTTGCATCAGCAAATGCAAAGCTGGCAAGGTTTCGCAAGAGACACTTGCACTTCTCAGGTATGGGCGCTTACACGCCAAAAGTTGGAGGACGCAAAGGTCAGGTTACTGCGTACCTGTGTGTCTGACTGATGATCGAGGCTAGCGATACCACAACCGCTACAGTTCATGCATTCAAATGAACTGCTACAAGCGTGACTTTCGTACATAAGCCATTGTCCCAGAACGTCAGCATTACCGATACCATCAATGACCGCAGACGATGTTCATGTGTTTCGGCTCCTCCTGATCTTGTCACTCAAAAGAATCAAACCATTGCTTCTGCTGTCAGCTTGCTGTCCATATGAGCTATAGTCTAAACTCCTTAAAGGGGGGTTATATAGGGGATTATATAGGGGACGACCATGGAAAATGGCTCATATAGAGCAGCTACAGATATTTGTACTCTTGATTGAACACCTCCTCAAAGGAAATAAATAAGGGTCGGTTCCTCTGGGGGTCGCAGGATCCTCCGTAATTCCAAATCCCCTCACCCTGTGAATATCTAAATCCGCAGGGCAACCTCCCATGATCAGGTACAGGTGCCTTCTATCAGAACAAAGCTGAAACAGCAAAACCGCATTATCATTATTGCAAACAATGCGTTTCTACTGTGACTGCCTACAGGCTCAAAGGATGCTGAGTGTTGTGCACCTATTCTGCTTGGGAGAGCAACAAAGCAACTTTGCTCACTTACAAACACGAATCGCTTGAATCGCTTATGGGTGGTGCCCGGGCGAGTTCGTCGGCCGTCACAGTGCTGCCTCAGCACAGCTCGCAACCGAGGTGCCTCCTGCGCTCTGACTGACTTCTGGGCGAAACTCGAAAGGCCGGCCCGAATGTGCTTAATAGAGCCTTATGCAAACTAGTTACTGCCAACAAAAGGGACTATCTTGTGGGCATGCTCTCGCGCAGCCAGCTGGCACAGACCCCTGAATTGGAATACATGGTTTGCTTTGCCAAGTGCCTTTCTTGCGAGGGGGTGTTGCAACTCCGACAACAACACAAAGTACGTGTCATGGTGCCAGCACCCTATTCTTGCTTGAAAGGAGAAAGAAATCGTGTGGCAAGCATCTGCATTTTTGCTTTAATGCTGTGGTGTGGGACACGTCACCAGCTCATGAAACAGCTCTGCCGATTTGCAAGACTATGCGAAGTGTGTATTTTATCCAGCTTTCTTTCTCAGTGGTGGCGGCTCACGTTATCAAGCTGATGAAGCGAAGATGGCAGCTGCATGCAAGGGAAGGTCAATCTAATTGATTGTGAATATGAATCCTGATGTATGTAGCTCAGGCCACGTCTAGGAAAATCAAGTTCAGAAGTGAGAAACCTTTGACAGCTGAACTGAGTGAGAGACAAAGCAAATGTGCTGCAACCAGAAGCTTCCAAGCCATCCTGGGCAGGAATGAAGGGCACAGAGGGGCACTGATGCTGACCAACCTGGAACATACACAACAGAACCACGAGGACAGCATAGTTATACTGGCCCAACACCCTTCCCTTTCGGCTTGCGATGTGCAAGCCATGTATTCCGCGCAGCAAAAATGCAACATTGGCGGTAGCAGCAATTGCAGCAGGTCGGCGGTAGCGGCGGCGGTGGCAGCAACAGCTGAAACTACTATCGCTGCAACGATGAGACAACTATGAAGAAACAATGCCGGTACAACGCGCCGCTGGGAAGGGGCAGGGATAGAAACAGCGGCCACCACCACCACCGCCGCCGCCGCCGCCACCGCCACCGCCACGGCCACGGCCACCGCTGCTGCCGCCACTGCCACCACTAGCACCAGCAGCGCAAGAACAATAACTAACGCATATCACCATCAAGGTCTGGAAGTGATGACAACCAAGAGACCTGCATGCGCCATCTAAGCCAGCACGCTGATGTATTTTACTCAAAGCAACTTGTAGAATGGCAACTTGTCTTGCGCAGCGCTTGTTCCCGAATCTGTTCTCGAAGACCTTCTGGCTGGCACAGGGAGAAAAATGCTGCGAAGACATCCAGAGATCGAGGACGAAACAGGATCACAATTTTGGGGCTCGCTTTTCAGCCTCATGGCCTTCTTGAACACCCAGGAGAAGATCGCTGCGGTGTAAGAAACACGCAAGCAAACAGAGACTCACACACACACACACACACATTGTCAGGTTGTCAAGTCCTAGCAGTGTTGTTGAGGGAGTTCCAGTTGCAAGCAGCAGCAAAAACGACCCCTAGTGTCAGTAGCCGCCGCTGCGGTCTAATCGTTGTTCTGCAAGACGGCTTGTTTTCTCAAAAAATCTGTTGACCGGCCTAGTTTTCTGCAGTGTGCTCCAGGTCGCCACGCTCGTGCTGTAAGTAAGTCGCGTCTCTGCCGGAAAAATCAATGCTTCCAAGCCTCGATCCCATTGCTGCGTCAGCCAGTGCGAAAGGGCCACACAGCGCTGACTTTACAAAACAGCGGAAAACATTGAAGTGCAGTCCACGGCTGGCAAGGCAAGGTTGAAATCAAGAGATGCAGTCTATTCCCTCGCCATGCATGCACCGCCTGTTTCTTCTCATGCCAAACAGTCCGACACTTTGGACAACTAGAAGCACACCGCATGAGCGCCCTCAGACCAGAACACCACCTGAACAAGGCTGGCTGCCATGTGCGGAAGGTCACAACATCTGCGGCTTCCGGCTCGGGGTACGCAACAGACCAAAGGGTTGAAGAGGGGTGATGCGCATGGAGCTCTGAAATCTACAGCCCACAAGGAACGTCAGATTGGAAATGATAAATCAATCATGGCCCGCGTTAGTTGAATACAAGATCCTCATGCTGCTTCTGCCCCGTTTACGTCCACACCCTGCAAAGCAAAGGGTTTTCGAGGGTATGCGCTACAAGTTACTGGCAGAAGAGCAAGGGGCGGATGAGTGGCGAAATTAGAGGTTGAGCTGATGCACAGTCTTAGGTGGGCATAATGAAGGAGGCCCCCCTCGCCTTTTTTGTGCTATGGCACCACCCGCTTCCAAAAGATAGATGTCTATCCTAGGAAAATATGATTATCATTGCCCAGAAAGGCAAGGGGTTTCTTGAGGAGTGTGGTTCAAAGTTTGGGGTTAAGGCTTGTACAGCCTGAGGTTCTCTATTGTAACCTCGAGCTTCCGCCCCACAATACCCCAAAGCAAACAGAAGTCAACCCTAAACCCTAAGCCCTAAACCCTTGAATCATCGGTCCTACATCAGCACATATCAGCCGGTCACGAAGGCCTTTTCCACACCCCCTAAACCCGGTAAGCAACCCAATCAATTAAGCCAAGCGGGCAAGCCTACAAGGAAACCAAACCTAGGGGGAACAAACCACCACGTTACAACCAAAGAGCCGACCCCTAAAGCCAATAAGCAAGCTAATCAACTAAGCCGTGAAACTTGCGAAGAAGGCAAGGAAACATCTACAAAAGATAGGGGGTAAGCCGTAAAGTGGTCGATCATCATGTCCAGACGCTGATGCTAGTGTCTGACTTTGTGAACAGATACCTTGATACAACAAGACCGCTGTGATGTCCCGCTGCGTACCATCAGCGATGTGACGTTCACGCAGAAACGAGAGATGTGTTTTGGTGTCGGGCTTCCGGTATCGCAGGGCTGAGAATTCTGGCTACGTCTTTGTCGTCATTCAACTCTGCCTGCTAAAGGCAGCTTCTTAGTCTTCAGGTTCAGTTTCAATATGCCCCGCTTACGGTGTTGAGGTCTCGAGTTCTTTTCAATCTTCAGCTTAGTTCGTAGCGAGCACAAAGTGTCTATCCTAGGTACATTTAGCAGGGTCCAAAAAAAGCGCCAGGGAACATCTGTGGTGCCACATCAGCGGTATCAAGCAGGCGCACGGCTCCCTGGATTCTGTACTTAGCTACTTCGCTGCCACTGTAGCAACAGACACACGTGCCATTCCAAGCCACACGAGCTCCCTTTCTTGTACTTTTGGCATCAGGGTTGCTTGGGTCTGACATCCATTAAAGAGCAGATGGAACAGACAAGTGTTCACGTTGATGGCAACATTAAAGACGCTGCACGAGGTGCCGAAGAATCTGACGTGAGTCTTCTTCGTGTGGCAGAGAAAGCATGGTTTGAGCCCGCAGCCCAAGGTCGGAGCTCCAGATCATGCCGACGTGAGTCATTGCATCAAATACTGCTCCAAGGCAGTCATCGGCTCTGCGCCTGTCAGGCTCAGCCCGCCCAACCCAAATTCAAATCTTCCTAAGGCTCTAAGTCTCCATAATCTCAGTGCACTCCCCGAACACCAACTTGGTAGTGTCAACAAAGGGCTCACCAGAAGAAAAACACACATTCACTGAAGTGATCTGCAACGGCAATCTTGAAGTGGAACTCTTCTCCAAACCCTCCACCCACGCGTGGTTCTTGCGCGGGTCTTACTTTGTTGCCTGTCAGCTAGTTCAGTACTCGTCCTAATTGAACGTCACACCAATGGCAGGGAGCAGGCGGGCATGCCAATCTACATATATTTGGTACAAGTAGCAATCTCCGGCACCTCTGATCCCCTTGCTGCAGCCCTTGCCATGTCTGACGTTGTCAGGAAGTCCTGCAGCTTCACTGCTCATGCCGCTCATGCACACATCACCTGGCATCATGAAAACGGCCGACCGAAAGTGAACGCCGAGTGGCCATGAAATCACTCAACCTTCTGATCTTCTGAAACCCTAAACCATAAAGCCTAAGCCTTGCGGAGAACCGCCTTCAATTCAAGAAGGTCAATTTCTTGGGGCTAGGTGTTTTTTCTTATGCTGCCAATGTTTTTTCCTATGCTTCGGGCTGGTGGGTGCTCGATTTTAAGCTCGCGGTTCTTTCTGCTATGCGGAAGTGCTTGGTCTTTTAATCTTCCCTTTGTCAATGTGCTTGGCTTTATGCCGACTAGTTTTTTTCTTATGCGGCCACCTCCGCACAAAGCATCAGCATACTTTTCATGCTAAAACTGCGCATGGAGAACGTGATTGGACGCATGTGCAAAACTTTGTACATGTGCTCGCCCTGGCGTTCCGGGGCCAGTAGGCACTGACCCAATGGCCTTCACACACCATAACATGGCCCTGGAAGTACGCGTGGAGCTGGAGTGGCCCGTCCCACAGAGCACCAGCACATTTTTCATGCTCACGCTCACACTGTGCACGGGATGCATGGAATGGTGTGGCGTGGTGGTGTAATGGTGCGGTAGTGTGGGGGTGTGGGGGCGTGGTGGCGTGATGGTGTGGTATCGTGTGGTATGCAGTGGTATGGTGTGATATGTGGTGTGGTGTGGTAGTGTTGTGGTGTGGCGGTGGGGTGGGGTGGCAGTGTGGCGGTGTGCCGTGTGGTGGTGTGGTGGCGTGGTGGCGTGGTGGTGTGGTAGCGTGGTGGCGTGGTGGCGTGGTGGCGTGGTGGCGTGGTGGCGTGGTGGCGTGGTGGCGTGAGGGGGCGTGGTGGCGTGGTGGTGTGGTGGTGTGGTGGTGTGGTGGTGTGGTGTGGTGGTGTGGTGGTGTGGTGGTGTGGTGGTGTGGTGGTGTGGTGGTGTGCTGGTGTCGTGGTGTGGTGGTGTGGTGGTGTGGTGGTGTGGCTTCCTTGAGGCTCAAGGATGCCAGTCTTGACCAACAGCGATGTCAGCTCTTTCCCTTCCTTGCAATGAAGAATTGCAACCAGGTTCTGAGCGAGATCCTGCAAAAACAAGATGTTACTTCCTTGCATTCAGGCCCGTACGCTAATCCCAACAATTTAAGCTCACGATACCAAATATTCCAGTAACTCATGCCGACTAAATTCATACTAGCAAGGTTTAGGGTTTAAGGTCTGAGGCTACAATTTAAAGTATGCACCGTCAGAATTTAAACAAACAGCCCAAGCATAAAGAAAAGCACCCTCAGCATCTAGAGCAACACCCTCAGCATAAGGAAAGGCCAGGGCGGCCTGGATTCCACAACACAGCAGCATAAACATCTACACCCCCAGCGTAAATACAGAAACCACAGCATAAACTCAAGAACCATGCCAATCCTGGAAACATAAAATGAACGAAACACCTAAAATCAAATGGCCGAGCATAAGGGAAAACACCTTCAGCATAAGAAAAAAATACGCAGCCCTTATACTATGTCCCGGTACATGTTTTGATGTAAGTTGCTTCCAGATGCAGCTTAAAGACTCGTTCCAGGGCCCCAACCCTCCTAGCTACTGCGCGGAGCTCTCTGAACACTGACCCAAGTCGCTGAGTCGTAGAAAGCATCGACCAGGATTGGGAAAAAGTTCCCGCCTTCAATAGGCATCAGTAGGCCAAGTTACCCAACAAGTGGTACTCTGTGAACTTGCGTTGCAGCACATCACAACACACGCACCTCACATATGTTCCGAAGCTGAGCCATGGCCATGTGCACGCGCATTGTGCCGGTCATGCCCGTCAAATGCATGAACACACAGTGATGCCTGCAAGCGTATGCTTTGATGATCTCCAGCCAAGGGGCCATCACTGTCGTAATCCGCCGACCCCGCTCAAGGGCGTGCCCTGAAATTAAAAATGCTCACTAAAACCTCTTTGCTGCGGGTCTCCCGGCTTCGCCTTCGCCGACCCTCTTCGCCTCTAGGCATCTCTCTTTCTCCCCTTGCCTCCTCCAATTCATCGAGCACACCCCCTTTCCTATTTCTCTCCCGATTTCCTTCTTGTTCTCGGCTTGGGCCTTGGAATCGCCGTGATGAAAGAGAAAAGTCCAAACACAATGCATTCATTTTCGAGCCTTTGCTCTTTTAATCTCTTTTCCGGAAGGCCAACCCGCTACCCTGGTGTAGTCTCTAGGAGCTTGTGTTTTTAGACGGAGTGCTAGGGCGGAATTGGAGGCCGCCAGAATCATTACTTTAGCAGCATGCGCCTATGGGTTCTCCGATTCCAAATTTCAGATAGGTCAGTCGCCTCCAGCGTTGACCGCGTGTGGCGTCAGCCCTCAAATCATCAAGACTCCAGACTTGTCCGACAGCGAGCCCAAAATCCATGGCTCAGACCCCGAAGACACCTCACCAGTTTGCTTTTGGGCTCTACTTCCGTTGGAGGTTGTGATTTCGCGGTTCCGGGGTCAAGGCGCACCAGCCTGAGAACATGCAAAAACCTGACACTCGCAGCATTGTTTGAGATATTTTGCTTTCTGCAAGTCTTTTGCTCAACTTATTGCAGTGGAGCAGAGGAGCTAGTCAACGACAGCGATTGCGAAGTGATGTGGGCAGAGCGACAAGCCTGCCCTTCTTAATCTTCTTCTTCACACCGTCTGTTGTAATGTACTGTGTTGCGCATGGCAAAACAGCAAGAGGATTCGGCGTCAGCTTCAGCTTAGGACTGCGGCCTGGGTCCACTTCCTGCAGCCTCTGACCAATGACGTACAGATCGCCCAGCGCCTGCCATAGTCTTTTTGCATCTTGTGCTTTACTTTCGCGTCTCCAGGGCAGTTCAACATGAGTACACCATGCCTAGATTCGATTGTCATCACAGATCTTTCAGGGCATGATTGCAGCATGTCCTTCACCAGCCTCGATTGGAAGATTGCGGTGGCGCTTTACGCAAACCTGAAGGGCAAATGCTCGACCAGCACAAGCAGAACCCGCCACCACAAGCTTGCACATGAAAAATAATCTTGCCATGGGAAGCCACAATGCTCTGTTACGCTTCGTTCCTTAAGTGCTGCGAGCTCCAGATGGCTCCAGTGCACCAAGCATGGTGTGGAAGGTCTGTTGCCTGCCTAGCCTTCCCCCTGCAACTCTCCTTGTGAGACAGCTGGCGTGCCGCTTTGATCTGGCCCTGGTGCAGTTCGACATGATGTGTCTTCAAATCAACTGCGACAGCACGTTAGCGGGAGCAAGTTTGAAGGCCATCGCTCAGCCACTCGCCTGGCAAATGGCAACTGACTCATGGACTTAGCCACACAGAGATCCGAGCGCTTGTACAGCCCAAGAGTTTTCCTTCCCGCTGCATGAGCAAGGGCATTTTGGGTGTCACATCTGCTTTTCTGCAGCGAAAAGATTCACCTTTGCATGTACGGTAGCCAAAGGCTTGGCCTGGCCGAGTCATACGGGGTCATATCATGTCATGTCATGTCATGTCTACATACAGAATATGCCTTGTGTCCAAATGAAGCTATCAACCCATGGCATTCGAGGCTGCTCCGGGTATGCCTGGCTGCTTTTCGAGCACAGCTCTTGAACCGCCGGACTAGCAGGAATTACACAAGGTTCTCAGGCAGCACCCCAAATGCCTGAAATGCGAGCTCAAACTAAACAACAGTGCTTCAACTGGTGTTGGCCCAGTGCCTAGGCAATTGGGGACCAGCTTCAAAGACTGGGTGTTTGGGACCAGCTTGAGTGTCTGTGTGATTGCTTGTCTGCCACGTCGAAATGCCTTTGCTCCAGCGCATTCCAGCGCCCTCAATCATACGTTTATGCTCGCGCTTGTCTTGATCCGCATTGTGTTTCTCGGGCTTGCTCTTCAACCTTGGTCTCCGGCCGGTCTGTCTCCTTTGAGATCGCGAGCGTGGAATGCCTAGCGCGCTCATGCGCGCTCAACGCATCAATTGGAATGCTCATAATGTAACCATAGCATTAATGAAGCGGGTGGCAATAGCATTGAGTTGCCGGACC